ATGCAATTGACATAAGGTATTTCAAGCAAGTTAATCTTACTTAGCAATAGATGAGAACATAATTTTATATAATGTAATCATTCTTACTTTTATCAAGAAAGTATTTTTTCAGATATTTTTTATAATTACGCTTATTCAGATAATAAGATACAGATTCATCAGTCATTTCATTCAATATCGCCGGTAACAAATATTTCCAATTTCTTTTTCCATAATAGTTATTAAATTTAGGTAACACATATTTCTTTGATTTTTGTAACTTTCTCAATGTCTTTGGTCGAGTATAGGCAATCAATTCATTGCTATTGTGATGTTCATCAATCAATATGGCGAGCCTCACACTATTATATATTGGCAAGACCCCACAATAATTAAATAAATCTAAATCATTTAAAAAGTTTGTTTTTATTTTTTTCGGAACTATTAACTTTAGTAATTTTAACTGTAGGTTATAGATATTAATCAAGTGTGTTTTGAACGTTCTTCCATAACTACTTAACCCATATCCGATCACACTGTTAGCCAAGGCCATATATAAAGTTCTCAAGGTCATGTAAGGTATTTTGTATCGTAGAATAGATAGTTTAGATGTTATAGCCCTTAATTTCTCACATACATATCCGATATGTGGAACCCAGTTAAATCTGTTATCAATTATAAGACCGATATACATATGTTGAGTTACGAATTCAATTTTTGGACATGAACATTGCATATTTACCTTATGAAGGCATGAGTGTCCATGGGCGATAATAGATGGTGTAAATATTTTTCTGAAAAATGGCGAGTGGATATGAATGGCTTTTGTTTTTTGCGCGTTTATTACAAGACCGGTGTCATGAGCCCATTTGCATATCAGGTTGAAGCTGCGTTGCGATAGACGCTCCGCTATAGCGAGATCTGAATGGGCCGTTACTATGCAAGTATCGTCAGCAAACTGGTATACAGACCCCCTCTCAAGCAAATTACTTAAGTCATTAACATATAGTAAGTATTCAGTGGGTCCGATGATCGAACCCTGGGCAGTGCCCACCTCTGTTGGTATTTTGTGACTGTAAGCACCATCAATCTTTACAAATGTACATCTGTTATGATGGTATTTCTTAAACCATTCTAGTAGCGGGCCTTGTATACCATTCTGTTCAAGCTTTGAATACAATACATCATAATTCAAAAGATCAAAAGCCTTACTGAAGTCGATGAAGACTGCAATCACGTGACGTTTGTTATTCATGTGACTACAGATTTCATCCGTGAATTTACAAAGTAATTTGGTGGTACTTTTATTTTTTTGAAAGCCAAATTGATTTGCATCAATTATATTATGGGCGCTCAAAAACGTATTTATCTCATTAGCTAAGTATCTCTCAACAATCTTATCCACACATGATAATATGGTTATGGGTCTATAATTATTATAATTCTTATGACAACCTTTTTTATAAATAGGACGAACAGTGCCGATTTTTAATTTGTCTGGATATGAAGATGTTGCAATACATCTGTTTATTAGATGTGTTAATACGGGTGCTATCAAATCGACAGTGTTTCTAAGGTCGGCAGCACGAATACCATCATACCCTGGACTTTTATTATAGTTTAATTGTTCGATTATTTTATGGATGTCCGCAATGACAGCCGGCCTCATACGCATTGTCACATTTGGATAGTTTATATATCTCGTTGGACAAAGAATACGATTCGTACACGGATCTATCAAATTTTTAACATTTTGATGAAACTCATTTGCAAAATTTTCCGCTAAAATAGTTGCAGGTAGATTAAAATATTTTAATAATAATTCGTCGACCGACGAGGATATTTTGCCACACAATTTGTTTATTATATTCCAGATTAGTTTTGTGTTGCTGAAGTTTTCATTAATTTGTTTTTTGTAGTAAGAATTTTTAGTATAATTTATATACTTATTCGTTTTGTTTCTATATATATTAAATAATAATCTTTTCTCTAAGTTATTTTCGTCTTTTTTCCATATTCTAAATAACTCTTATCATAGGGAATTGTAATCTGTAACTTGGACGATCCAAGTTTTTAACAAGAACCCCAAAGAGGGTTATGTATTCGTTTATTTGGTAATTTTAAATTATATATACCCTATACAAACTGTTTTTACAATCATTTTTTGTTTGTTATAGTTTCTTATTTATCCTTATACAATTAATAAATCCATACTCAAGCTAGTCAGTCTTATTAATTGTCACAATAGTAGCAATTCCCTGAGTAATGACTATTATTATATTATTTAAACTTAATATATTTATTAGGAATATTCGTGAGTTATCTACTAATTATATTGCAACAATATCGTAGTTATGTTCTCATTTATATTGTCGTAAAGTAGCTCGATGGCGTAGAGGATAAGCGCCGCGGCCCGCGATCGTAGTCGTTAAGCAACTTTCGCAAGGGCCGGTCACGGGATGGGTGACCAAATAATTATTATTTCGAGCTACTCCGTGCTTCGGAAGGCACGTTAAGCCGTTGGTCCCGGCTGCATTTGCAGTCGTTAATACCCTCCAATCCGCATTGGGCCAGCGTGGAGGGTCATGGCCTATCCTCATTAACCATCCATAAGGAAGGCCTGAGCCCCTGCAGTGGGGACGTGAAAAGGGCTGATGGTGGTGGTGGTGGAAAGTTTTCTTGCGTTCATTCTTGGTCATAGGTCGAAGTCGTGTAAAGATGAAACAAAAGATATAGACTAGGTATTACAGACCTACGTAGTCAAATGTCCCACATTCGGTTTCAAGATATAGCTATTTCTGAGTCGCCGGGAAAGATTACCGGTCGGGTCAACATGGAAAATGAATTATTATATATTGTCAATCTGGATTTTGTCGTACTGTAACGTCCGAAAACATTACTATGAATTTACACTCTGATGTTAGTTTTCGCGTTCGAATTCGCGGAATCTTTTCTTGCTAATTGTTTTTTTTTTGTTTTGAAAAGCCTAAGGATAGCATCAAAGAGTAGATAGTACCTACTCTTTGATGCTATCCTTAGGCTGTTTAAGAGTAGTAATGATATTGTTAATGTTTCTTTAATATTTACTTGTTGTTTTTCCGCGACTTGGTTCGTGTATATTATTGCCCATGTTACCTTCTTATGATGTAGCTTCCCGTTGGTTAAAAAAATTTCATGTTCGAAGATTACACTCAACAAATAAACAAAGTCCTTACCTAAAAAACCTCTTTAATATTGGTATAGTTTCAAAAGATTTCCATAACTTATGTGATGTTAACGATATGAATAATGAAAATTTTTGAAATTGAAACTCTCATCAGACAGGTGATCAAGTGTACCATCTCGTCAACAGTGTTTCGAGAGACACTGAAATATGCTTGGCAGTTTATAGCCCATTCTCCCTACGGGCTTATACTAAAATGGCGGAGACATTAAATGGTCGTGTCTTGAAATGCAATACATTTTAACGATTTTAATAGTTGCTAGTTCAACGGTAGATGTGTTACTTCAATATGAAGATAGTGTGTTGTAAAGTTATCTTGCCTTTGGGACAATTACCTATATTTAGTTTGTACAATTTCTTCAATTACCTACTTATTATAAAACCAAGCGTTTACGTCGTATTGTTTTAACGACATTTTTGGTGTTTAGTTGGAAAAACGCTTTTTTTTATCATTTCAAAAATTGATATAGATACAAACTAAATTTGCAAGAAAAAAAATACTTCAATCATTAAATGAAAAAACTTTCAACAGTTTCAGCGTTTGTATTTGATTTCATGACGTTCCGGACCCTTTTACGGGTTCCGTGTTCACTGAAGACTAAGGTGTCGATTGTCTTTAAGCCCTGACGGGAACCGAAAAAGAGGGATGTTATAAATTTAACTCCTTTGTTTCTTGTTGTGTGTTATCTTCGTCTCCGTTTGTGGCATCGTAGCTCCCGAACGAATGGACCGATTTAAGTGGTTTTTCTTAATTCGAAATATAATTAAATCACAATGGTTTTGTCTGTTGTCCGTTCAAAATCCGTCCAGCCGTTGAAGCTCACCAGCTGTTTTCCTGGCTCATGTCGAAGTACATTAGAATTTAAAACAAAAACAATAAATAAGTCATCACAAAGGTTTTATTTTCAGAATTATCGCACATATTTAAGTATATTTTTACCAAATTATTTCTGTATGTAAATCTGTCGGGGAAGTAATATTACACTGTAATAATAAGTATGATTTTCTAATATCCTCAAAACTAATCGTTTGATTCTCAGAAAAGAATCTTTAAATACACTTATATTCAAATAGAACACTGATTTAGAAATTCAGAATAAACTTCGACGTATGTCACGTAGCTGAGTGAACAGTTTAGAACTAATTTTAGTCGTAGTTGGCTAAAAGTTTCAGTTTGCATTGCGTTCGGTCGCTCGAGCTCTGTGTTCGGTGAGGACGTTTATGTAATAAGATGGAATAAGAAAGATATTTATTATTATTATTCTAGGAGCTGCCCAGATCCATATGGATATCGTGACCTTAATTATTTATGGGACTCGCCACTAATATTACAGTAGCTCTACAAATTCTGTTATGTTTCAAGCTTTTAAAAAAAAATCTTTATTGAGCTGATTTTGTTTCGTCTCAGATGTAAAAATGTAACGGTAGTGTGAGTTGTATACAGAAAAATAAATGCTAAAATTTTTTATAAGTTTATGCGCCCTCTGATAAATTTTGTCACGATGAATTTTAGTCTCCTTTATCCGAGGTCTATGGAGCTATAGAACGCTTGTGATGGCGCGCGCACTTGAACACGTGACAATTAAGTGACGTGAAATAGTATATTATATCAGCTCTTCTTAAAACCTACATGCACACCGTTGGAATTGTCCTCGGAATTATTCTCTTCGCTCGTTTTCCATAACTGAATTTTTGATACCTTTTTTTAATGGTTATTTACTAGCTCTGTCTTACTAACCTTACTTATCGTTTCCAACTTAAATTTATAATTAGCCTATTTCTTTTCCCTTTTTGGCAGGAGTCAAGTCATAACGGTGCGAATGTGACGTTACACCCCGCGGTTCTGGAGACAGGCGGTCGGTACAGGTGCGAAGTATCAGGAGAAAGGCCTTTGTTCCCAACGGTGTCAGATCATGCGGATATGACTATTGTCGGTAAGTATAAAAAATGCCAAAGGAAAGTGGATCTTGTTTTAATATTAATATTTTTTTTTTCTGAATGGCAACACAATCCACGTGACATATCAATCTTAGAAGTATAACACCTATTCTTGTTAGATAGATGTCACGTAATTTTGATAGCATGCACTGTAAATCACAAAGAAAATAGCGTCCACACATGTTGTTATTCAAAATGAAAAAAAAAATAAGGAGGTTATTTCTAAGGAGTCTGTTACAGCAACACGTTAATTTTTATTTTTTTAAGAAACAAAGTCTATTTTATTAGTTTTCCACAAAAATATTTTTTCAAGTTTTTTATTGTAATTATAGGGAAAATTGATAAATATAATTGATAAAGAAAATTGATAGCCACTTTTTGGCCAAGGTAATTATGTAGCACTTTTACAGTAATCATAATAGTTTGCAAACAATTAATTAAACACTTATTTTGCCTGTCCATTCGTTATCCTGTCTCTATCTATCTCATAGCCGTTTTTTACGCAAATTTTATAAGGGTCTGTCATAGGATGGGTTTCGTTAACACTTATCAATTCGCATTGGGCCTGCATGGTGGGTCTTGGTTCATTCTCCAAATTCGATTCGAATCCATAGGATAGGCCTAAGCCCCAGCAATGGGGACATTAATAAGCTGGCGATAATGGTGATGATGAGTAATAATATTAATTTTTGTTTTAGCTTTACCAGATCACGGACCTACTATTACTGGGTCCCGTTTGCGGTACCAGATAGGCGACAGGGTACAGGTCAACTGCACCTCTGGTCGGTCCCGGCCCGCCACCAGACTCGCCTGGTACATCAACGGGGAGCCAGCGCCCACCGGCGCGATGTTGCCGCCCATGCATTACAAATTTGAAGATGGCCTAGAGGTCACTAGTTTAGCTCTTGACTTTAAAGTCAAACCTAAACACTTTAGGAAAGGAGATCTTAAGCTTAAGGTATGAAAATGTTTGAAGAATATTTAGATATTTTTAACAAATATTAATAATGGTCAAATGATTACCGAACACGTTTTACATTTAAAACGATTTTATTGATTCAATCCTTATTAAAAAACATTCATAGTGGATTACGTTTATAGTATTGATGTTTTAAGTGGGTAATATTTCAGTAATTATGGATATTAAAAAATTTTTTTATGCAAATTTAGTATGCAAATTTAAATAAATACTAATATATACACAGTAAATTACGTGAAATTTTTGACGATTTCTAAGGCCCCGTAGGCCTGCTCTATTTATGAAAAAAAAAAAACGCAATTTCGGAATATTATAAAATTATCTTATTATTTTGAGCCGTTCGCACGCCGGTTTCAAGGTCTCATCATGTCTGGGTTCGATTCTCGGTCGGGTCAATGCAGAAAATTTACTTTTTTATATTGTTACTATATGTTATGGTACCTTCATTGCCTCAGACACTCCGTTATTCTGAGGCTGTAGGCTCATCTTGGAATCTGAGCAATGTATGCTACGTTCTCTAATATTTATTAAAATCCTATACGAGATTATCTACTCATCAGACGCATTACCAGCTCCTTTAAATGAGTCGTATTTATTTATATTCCAAAACGCGAAGTTTCGTTTTCGATCTAGTAATAAGCAATGCATAAAATCAACTTTTCGTATCTAAGGGTTAGGTGCTGTGGTCTCCCCTTTTTTATACTAATATTTCTTTATTTAATCTCATAAAATTGTACGTTTGCAACGGTGTCGGAAAATGATAGTTGTGAAATGGAACTCATCTGATGAGTTCGAAACCGCAGCCGTATAACTGAATTAAAGCGTACGAGCTGAAGCTGCCGCCATTCCATAACTGTTCGGATTCAACGACCTGTACAAATAAATAGGCTTTTCATAATTCACAACTTTTATCAGAATATCAGTTTTTATTATGATTGATTTTTTTTGAAGTTTTTAGATATTTTAGATATTGCTATATAGCTTATATAGCGTATTTTATATGTCTTTTATTTTAATGACTATGTATTGATGATAATATTTTTTTAATGGCTAAAAACACAAATTGAGTCCGTGAGTTAGATAGAAAAATATTAGATACATTTTTTGTATCAATTTAACAATAAATAGCTTAGATAATACGCATTAAAGTTGAATAGTGGGCGCACGCTACGTCACATTTATATAAAAACATTTCAACTTAATTTGTCGCCGTAATTTATTGATAACGAAATGAAATATAAAAGAAATACCTACGTGTTTAATTTATTCTTTAATAATCCACCTGACGGTCAGGCATAATATTATTTGGTATTGATTTGGAGTGCTAGTTCATTCGTAATTTGTCTTGATAATTGATCGTAGTAATGATAGGTAGCAATGCTATTCTTAATGAAGTGTAGAATAATGAATGAATAATGGAACGAACGAACGAATTAATGAATGAATACTTTATTGTCCAGTAAAACATAAACATGAAAACAAATATAATTAGGAACATAAATGCAAAAGGCGGTCTTATTTCTAAGGAAGCAATAGCCCAAGTTTATTAAAACATCAGGTAACTCTTTTGTTGCAGTGCTTAGCCACGATAGCGACTGTTTATTGGAGGAGCAACGAAGAGAGTGTCCAAGGAGAAAGGCTAAAAGGATACGCTCGATCCAGAGAACTTAGCGAGGGCACATCCAGGGCGGACAGAGTCCAAGCCGCTGGAAAATCATCTGTCGCCAACGAACTCCTCCTAAATCCTATATATCTAGTGCTGTGTTCCATTATGATGCACATATTACAGAAAAGACATTCAACATAAATATAATTCAAGATATTAGTGATAAAAGAACAGTGACTGCTTAGGTGAATTTATTATTATGGGATTCACTTTTGTTTTGTGCGTTGATTTTAGTGTAACGCAACTAAAAGACATCATAACGTGGCATGGAGCTTCTATAGAGCTAATAATTATATAAACGTTTACATTAAAGATAAGTTATTTAATCGTTAAAATTACTCATTTCTTCTCCATAATATTTTGAGCACTGCTAATAAAAATATCCAATTTATATTATGTTTCTTTGAAGGCTCTAATTTTATTAAGTTATGATGAAAAGATAAATCAGTTTCTAATGGCTATATTAGTAAAAATTACTTTGACCTATAGTGACTATATTTTTTTTAAATATTTAAGGTACGTTGTGAATGAAAAATATTATTCTTGTTATAAATAATTGAAATTTAATCAACAGTTTGGAAAATTTTAAAACGAAAGATAATTTGGGTTCATTTCACATTTGATTTTTATAGCTACATGACGTTATGTGCACAGTCACTCATTCTATATGAATTTATAAGCGTAGTTGGGTTATATCACTGAGCCTCTAAATACATTTTCAGACATTACGTACTTACTGAGCATATTGAACATAGAATTGAGGTGGGTAGTATTGAGGTTGCCATGTCATTTCAGCGACATCTTTAAATAAAAATTGATAAATCACCAAACTCAAACTTGATATCGAATTGTGTCCTAGAATAGGTTAATTTTAACCTTTTTTTATCATCAATACAATTTATACTATAGGAAAACCTTATCTCATACTGATTTCTTATTAAACACTCCAAAGACAAAAGTTACATCCTGTTGCGAATCGAGTGATTTAATTAAGGTATAATATAAAATATTACTTAATTAATGGAATTAGTTAATATCACTTTTTTCATTAAAACTTTGTTTTGAAAAGAAGCAAAGGACGTTGTTGACAAATATAATACATTATTAAGAAAAGTAAAAAAAGATTGCGAAAATAAATATTATCATCAAAAAAGTACAAACATCTAATAAACTACTTTATGGCTATGAATTTCAAAATAATAGCAGAAAAAAATTCTCTGTCAGTTTGTGTTGTAGCGCGCAAGAAGGATATCGGCTTCGTAGATTAAGTAGACACATATTGTGTCGAGACACAAATATATTAGTTTTATTTTAACATATGAAACAACAAACGACTATAGAAAAACAAAAAACACGAAACTTAAATATGTTTACGATTAAATGTTTTCATATTTCATTAAATTGAAAGTTATGTTTAGGTATCACTTATTCTTTTTCTCGGAGCCAATTAAAGTAAGTAATTCATCAAAAAACAAAACATAATTTTTATTTTAAACAAAAATGTAATCATCGTGATTACTTCCAAAACATATGAATGGAAATATAAATGAAAATAGAACTACATATCTATTTAAAACTTTTGAAGACAGATTAATGATGAAAATCCTTTAGCAATTAAATAATGGTGTTAATTAACTATGGCTATTATTTTCTAACATGTAATCCAAAGATCATCAATTTAACCAAAGTTCATGCATTAAACATTTTTTTATTGTTTGGTCAATCTGCCAACAAACTTTGAATTAAAGAATTACCCAGTTAGATAATTTCAGTTACCATTATTATTCTACGTATTAAAATATGAAACCATTAGCACGCCAAAATAAAGAATATAGTGACATAAATAATTATAGGTCTCACTTTAAATCCGATTATAGTTTTTTTTTCAATACCTAATAAATGTTAGATAAAGCTTTTAACTTATATTCAGTTTGACTTATAAAAATTGAAACTATGCGATTACCTAAAAAGGCAATTAAAAAAAAAACAATATAAAAGATGGAATAGAAAGGGTCAAGTGAAAGTCCGTTGGAAAATTACTTGTAAAAAAATGTGAGATCACATTTTATTAAAACATAAAATTACAAAAACCATTATCAGCGAAATATTATCAAATATAAAAAATTAAAGGTATCCAAGCGAACAATTTTCTTCACACGCTGTTATTACACACTAATTACTATGTAAGAATTAAAAATAGTAGTAAACAAGAAAATAATGAGAGCAATTAAAATTCAATATCATTTAAGTCAGTTTAAGAGATTATAGCAGTTGCGAAAGTCTGAAACTATGCCATCGGTTAATAAATCTTCGGTGGGAGACCTTATACTGTGAAGAACCGGCATGGGCTTTATCATCCTGCTTTACTTTATAAAATGAAGTCTAATAGAAAACTTAAATGTAGTTAAAAGAAATCAAGATAACCTTATTTTTTTTTGACAGAATAGTTTACCTCAAATATCTACATTATCATATATGTATATGGTTGTTACAGAAGTTTCTTGTCATTGATTCAGTAACAATGCGAGCTTAATACTCTTTGCTCGTAGACAATCTGATCGTATTTAACTCAGGTATTTAATATTAAAGCCTCCTAGAGCCAGTTGCACAAACGTCCATTACATTTTTCATTAGTTTAAAGCGACATTATCCATACAAATTTGACATTCATTAGGGCTTAATGGAGTCATTAAACCTTAATGGACGTTTGTGCAACTGACCGTTTGTGTTTAATTTTTTTTTAACCTTGATATTATCAACCTCCATAGTATAAAATGAAACCAATGCAACTCGCATATCGTTAAGAGATATATTTATACATAGTCGTACTTTAACTTAAGGTGATAGCTTAAATCGTTTACTGTCAATTAATTGATAAAGGACTATCTGTATTGTCCTTATAATCCATTATAGTTTGCTTTTATACCATCAGTAGTGTTATTCTGTCAAAAGTACAGTGTGGTATTTAAACAAAGAAAACCTACTATATAAGTTAATAAAGGTTTTATTTGAATAGCCTCTATAGCTGCTACAGTGCTGTATTTTTAGCTAAAATAGCATTGTTCTATGCGTCAATTCAATGAAAACTTTTAACCTGTGTTCACTGCAATTTGTGTGATATTTTAATAAGAATTTCTTTTCAATTTAATCAGTTGTGAGTTTATTAGAAATATCAGTTGATTAATATTTAATGTAGATTATTTGCATTTTTAATAATTCTATATTGTCTTATTATGGAAAATTTAAAATTAATTCAAAGCAAAACGGTATTCCAAGCATTGTGATTATTAATAAATTATAATTACTATATTATTATATCAACTTGTGAACTCTTTTTGTAAATTATATGTGTAGATAAGTATAATAAATGTAATATGATAATTGTGTATTTAAACTAGTCATTGAAACAAAAATTATTATATATTCACAACAGTTTGTGTTCACAATTCATTGATTAAAATAAATTGTAAAAGAAATCTGTCTGATTTATGTAAAATTATTGTGTAATATGCAATTTTTTGTTGTTTCATCCAAACTATAAGTTTTTACAGTTTGTGTGCAAATTGACACATACAGAACAGGGTCAGAACACATCAGGTTTTAACAAATTATTAATAAAAGAGAATATATGTTTAACATCAATTAACTACCTCAGATTTGTATAGCCTGATACGTTGTTGACTCTACCTGTACAGTATACATAAATATGTACATATATAAATTATAAAAATTATTGAAAATTCAAATTCGAATGTAGAGTATTCGAATAAGTCTTTATATTAGTTTGTTTAATATATTTTATTAACCTGTATTTATCAAATAAACTCTGATATTAGATTTCAGTATATTGGTTTGACAGTTAGTACGTAATATAGTCCATTTACTCCACGATATCATTATATATGTAATGTCAGTAAGTGTATAATGACAGTAAATATAATACAATAACATTAACGCATCATGTTAAATATCATTGAAATGTAAAATTTGTTTGTACAGAATGAACACAATTAAAAAGCAAGCAAGTTATATTATGTTTCGCTTTGTGTTAATTCACCGTGAAGTGTTGAAGGCACAGCTCGCTCTCAATTCGAATCGGTTCAAATTACGCTAAAGAGTTTTTGTTTTCACGAGAGTATTTTATTCGCACATTCATCTCTTTTCGAAGAATAGGATTTCAATATTTTTCGAATATTCTAATTTTAAACTTCAAAACATTTGAGATGACGCGTTCCGTGACAAATTCGAACATTAATTTATAAACGGCTAATTGACACGCTTTTTATTTTGTCAGCAAATATAAAAAGAGTTTAAATTTTAAGTACGAGTAACTAACAGGGAAACTTCTTTAATACAAATGAAGACTTATGAAGAGCTAATTTATAATTTTCCGAATAGTTAGGTAGATTAAATCATATCCAATAAATGCGAGTTAAAAATATACATAAAGACGTCTAAGGTGATAGTGTAAAAGCTAACGATATCAAAGGAGGACTCGTTACTGCATCCAAATGCAAAATCAGTTCGCGGTGGAACATTCTAGTTGAACTGTGGTAAACGTGACCTGTCAATGCGATCATTAAATGTTCCATTGATTCACGAATGCTTCGCCACAAAATTCAATCAACATTTAGGTGAGCAAGCTACGTCTCAGTGAAAAGCGTGCTATAAACGGACTTGCAATCGTAATTATTTATATACGTAGCATTTGATGAAAGGGCGATTTATCGACTTTGATGAAACCTCTGTACTATTTAAATTCTTTTGACAGACTCGTTTCAACTAAGTTAATGGAGTATCAGTTCGTTGAAATTGCAGAGGAAAGTTACCAAACATGGAATATGATACCTATGGAATATTAGATTTTTTTCTCGAATTATTCCTAATTGTGGATAGTTTACAAAATATCTCCCGTTGTCGTGCGCTGCGGGTTTTGCACACGTATCCCTTCGTGTGCGATGATATCAAACAATTCTCGCTACCGACCGGCCGCTCCCTTTGTTCATTTTCGCTTCTATTGTTAACAGTACTGGACGGATTGACTTCGGGTTTTTTATAGTATTCTCAGATATATTATCTTATAACTTATTTATTTAGAAAGTATTTTTTTAAAACAGTATTCACAACGACGATTTACTTTTGACATATCGTGAAATTGTGGGTATTTTCTTAATATTTTCATTTAATTTCTTCTTTGTTTGTTTTTTTATATAATTATAGTCATGTGTCGTGATACACAGCCGCAGCCCACGGGTAACCGCGCGCTGTTTCTTGTGGGATACCGTGCGCACACCACAGGTTTACGGATTCGTTCGGCTCATTTTAAAGTGTATCTTATTTCTTTCTATAAAGAATTATTTATAAATTAATTTCAGTATTCCATTTTTGGGTATCCATATTTATGTACAATATAGCGGACTTTCTATATATATAAATGACGTAGAATTGACACGAATAGAGTAGAGTAATTATTATCTTATATTGGCATAAACCGATTATCCTTTTTCCATGATGGACGCGATTGTCACTTGCAATTAGACAGTTGTGAATTCCTAAACGTTCTATAAACGTTTGTTCTTTAAATACTGCACGAAGGGGAAAACTTTATAGGGCAGTACTATTATTACAATATTTTAAACAATAAATATATTTTGCCCCGAAATGGAATATTGATATAGTGTAGTCTATACTAATCTTAATTGGTATATTTTTTATGATGGCTGCTTTATCTATAGGTTATCACGTTTTCACTGATGCTAAAAATATAAGTTAAGAAATCGTTAAAAGAAAAATCAAATTAATGTATACAACTACTTTTAGTCTTTTACGCTATTTATTTTTGTACGCGACAATGATGGTGTCAGTAAACTGTTTCCCGTAGGGATCATATCAGATAATAATTGTATTCACTTCCGCCGCCTCAGCTCATTTGAACTTATAAATTAACTAACGTTATAGCAGATGATGACTGTGCGGAGCTAACTAGATATAAACAAAAATCTATTTCGACAGGATTTGAGAAATGCAAACTACGAATTGTGTTTGCATGCTAATATTGAAAGTTCAAATTTTTCCTTTGGTCAAATTTATAGGTTTGGTATTGAGC